TATCTGAAAGCGCGCAATGCAGTGCCCATTTCTGTTCGATCGCCAGTAGCCAAAATCCGCTGCGGCAGCGGCCGGAGTTGGCGTGATGGTTTATGCCTCTTGGCGAGATCGGGAAGGTTCATTTGTGGCAAGTACTTTGTGTGTAATGAGTGCGACCTCGTAATGCATTCGTTTGGCAAGCGGAAGCATTGTTCCTGTCCCCTTTCCTGTCCTGTGCCATGGGTAAAAAGTGTTCTGATTTACATAACACTTTTACGTATTATATATGTTTAGATTTTGGAAAGTAAGTACTTTAACAATCATGAATTAGTCTTAATTTACAGTGTCAATTTAGTGGTGTAAATACCACGTTACTATGGCAGAGACAAGTCTATCTACAGCACAATGATGTAATACAACATGCATTATTTAGGTTATTTTATGTAAATTAATATAGCTCCTTGTTCCAATCTCGGACGATGATGATGATGTCGAGTTCATCTCCCTGTTGCTAAAATGTGTTCCACCTTGTGGAAGCAGTACCTGTCCTCAGGGCCGGATTAAGGCATGGGCTGCACCCCAGGTGCCTCTAGAGATTAAGTGAAAAGTTATTTCACTCGTGAATGCCGAATTGTATTTGTTGTTAGCCTTGTAAAAATAAATTGTATTTTTGAAAAACTTTGTTTTCCTTTTTAATATACTACTGGGGGGGCCTTACACAGTATCTGTCGCCCAGGGGCCTACACGATCTTAATCCGGCCCTGCCTGTCCTATGAAAACACTGGTCCCTAACAGAGTAATGTGGAATTTCCATCACTGGCGCAGGGCTGCACAAAGCAGAACAGCAGCTGGTGTCACCTCAACTTGAACGCGACTTGAGTCAAGTCCTGTACTCATGAACTAATTAGAGGGCACTGCAATGTGTAGGTTCATTAAAACACGTGTTCTTGGTATCATAATTAAATTCCAGTTGTTTAAATGACAACCCTTTTCCGTGGCAAACGATGGGAATTGTGTGTTATATTTCATTGTGGATAATTCGACGTAACATGCACGGGGTGGCGCTACAAGACCGTTTAGTGACGAACGCTCAACTCGTGCCGCAGAGACCGTGGGAGTGAACGATTGGGCTCGAAGGCATAGCGCCCCCCGCCCCACCCACCCCCTTTCTGGATGTTTAAATCAATGGAACCATGCGATTGCGTGCCCGTACATAGCAGGCGCGGCTCGTGACGCCAGGGATGAACGAGTCCAGGCCATCAGGGCGCGGTGGCGGCGCACTTTAATAATCCTGCGATCGCGATGTCTGTGAACGTCAAAACCCCACACTGGGCCCGCGATGGAGCAGGCCGAGAAGGCGATGATGGCACGGCATTGGCGGGTTGCTGAAACGAACCGAGATATATCCTGGCGTGGCAAGCAAACGCATCGATAAATACTCGACGAGGAATTGAGTATTTTACCAGAAGCAGGGGCCCTCCTCAAAGATAACGGAGCACTTGAAAGCTCAGTGAGACATTGCCCATTGATAAAAGTACGGAAATGTAAAAAAAATTAAAACGATACACATTGGAAATTAACTGTGCACGGAAATATATACAGGGGCTAATGACCAGGGCAATCGGCAAGCTATGAAGTGGGCATTGAAGATCAATGCAGTTAAAGTGTTTGATGGAACAAATGAGCAATTTGGATAATACGCAGTTTGGATATCAGCTCGTGATGAGTTGTCAGTTGCAAAAATAGTTGTTGACCTGATTGAACTCTCGCCTGGTTACATGACACGATCTATTTATCATTATTATTGGTCCGTGTTCAGATGCAGTCACCTACACCCGTATCACATTAATGTGGTTCAATTATGGCTGACGATAATGTAATTGGTTGTCGCTGCAATGTCTACCTGGTTCAGAGCTAATGAGTCAAGATTGTTTGCGAACGCGTGCGATAACAATGCACCTTGCCGGCCGATTCAGCATGCAGTGCGGTACGGGGTTGATAACGCATTTCGAGCTCTTTTGATTATACTCGTGGAAACGTAGAGAGTTGCTCTCCATTGGCCCTACGAAATCGCCATCATCATCATCATCAGGAACGGCAGTCCCATTATAAGCGCATAAGGCGAATGGGGGTCGAGCGGTGGGCGAAGTGGTGAACGCAAAATGCGATTAAACGAGCCGGCGTCCCATGAATTTGATTCTCGGCCACGGCCAAACATCGGTGGCTGTTGGTAAACCTGGGCCACCACCTTCAACCCCAACTCGTGCCGACTGGCTCGGCGTGGTGAAGTATGGTGAAGTGTGGTGAAGTATGGTGAAGTATGGTGAAGTGTAGTGAAGTGTGGTGAGGTATGGTGAAGTATGGTGAGGTATGGTGAAGTGTGGTGAAGTGTGGTGAAGTGTGATGGAGTGTGGTGAAGTGTGGTGAAGTGTGGTGAAGCGTGGTGAAGTATGGTGAAGTGTGGTGAGGTATGGTGAAGTGTGGTGAAGTGTGGTGAGGTATGGTGAAGTATGGTGAAGTATGGTGAAGTATGGTGAAGTGTGGTGAAGTGTGGTGCAGTGTGGTGAAGTATGTTCATGTGTGGTGAGGTGTGGTGAAGTATGGTGGAGTGTGGTGAAGTGTGGTGAAGTGTGGTGAAGTGTGGTGAAGTGTGGTGAAGTGTGGTGAAGTGTGGTGGAGTGTGGTGAAGTGTGGTGAAGTGTGGTGAAGTGTGGTGAAGTGTGGTGAAGTGTGGTGAAGTATGGTCAAACAAAGCAACGACGACTACCGCGCACGACTGGGAGTTCGTCCAGCGATCGTTTGACAACGGGCGGTGGTGATTCTTACGTCTAACTCTTCGTCGCTGCTTTGTTTGCTGCACACTGACGCACGTGATTATACGTGGCATCGACAAGCAATTTTAGGTCTTGGAGCAGTGATATTAATTGCAAGGCTCGGCGGCCACTGATGGCCCTTTGGTGGCCTTGAGTGCGGCAACAGATGTGAAACATCAGCGTGCTGCTGTCAAGCCCCAATGGTTTACAATGTGTGGCGGCCCTCACACACCAATGATGTCTTCTAGACGAAAGTGCCCCCCGCTCTGATGAACTCTGATGGACTTAGAGTACGTAGCAGCTCTTAAGCCAAGAGTATATGAACTCAGCACCCACGTTTAAGACAGTCAGCGAGCAACTATAAGGTGCTGTAAATAATGGAGTTGGGGGGGGGGGGCGGTCAGAATCAAGGACGCCCGAACGCCTTTGTCTTCCTGGTCTTGATATTGACAATTCCAGGTACTATTTTGGGCTGAGTCGACCAACGTGAGGGTCGGGTCAGCTTGAAATGATTTCCATGTCATAGGCACACGCACACAAAAACAAAATCCACAACAGTTACAATCTGAGTACAACGTTTCGCCAGTAATTACAACTAGCATCATCAGGCGGATAGCCAGACATATATACAACACACCTGTGTGCTGAACTAGTAACGAATTGGCATGTTCTACTAACGTGTCAAACCTTACCAATTGGTTGTGTCGGGTGGTCGCGGGCTTAACGACACATTTAGATTTACGCCATCTAACCTCCCCCCCCCAAAAAAAACCACCCCCCCAACCCCCTGTATTATGGATGATATTGGTCGCGAAAGCCTACGTGTTAAACTGACATTCTCACATGTTCGTACTCACACACACACCAATCTTTACGCGGTCACGGCCGTGATAATTCCGCACATTCCCGAAATTCGCATTCATCACACCGGGATACGCACACTCACAGACTAGATCATTCAGAGACGCCGAGAACTGCCTTTGTGTTGTCTGTTGTCCTTCCCCCAAACCTCTGATTCGCACGGTTGGCTACGTGTCGTGCGAAAGAAGTTCAACGTGCATACACATTTACACAACACCTACAAAATATGCAGATCCCCCGTTAAGCCTTAACAGGCAGTTTTGTGAGCGAGCAGCATCTAAGAAGGCCGGATAGTCACACGAGGGAGTGGGTTGGCTAGCACGACGCCCGACCGCCTTTGTCTCCCCACATCGTACCAGGTACTCGTTTGAGGCTGAGTCGATCTAGGGGAGGCCCATAACCGGTGCAGATAATCATCACTGGTGTTGACCGTGAGCGGGAATCGAACTCGGGTCGCCGTGTTCATAGCAAAGCGCGCTAATTACTGCGCCACCACTCCTCACATACACAAATAGTACACAAGACAATATCCCCGTGTAGCCGTTACAGACGTATGGGGCGAGAGCTATTAGCGAGCACCTCAGGAACGGCGAGGCACACGAGGTGATGGGTGGCCAGCACCATGCCGGGCAGCCTTTGTCTCACCATACCACTGCATGTTTACATGAACCAGGTTCTTGTTTTAACACCGCTGAGTTCATCTCGGGGAGTCCCGGGGTCGTGTCCAGATATCCACTCGCCACAGGATGCAAGCCGTGAACGGGTATCGAACTCATCGCGTGCGGATGAATTCATAGCGCTGTGGGCTCACCGCCGTTCCTCGTTTTCGATGCCAACTCGCGTGCGGTCATTGCGCATCACTCAAACCCCCCCACACAGCAAAGATCCCCGCGTCTCGCCTTGACAGGCGTTTGGGACAAGCGCTGTTAGCGAGCACCTATGAAGGCCGAAACGGCACACGAGGGGAGGGGGGGAGGTGGGTGGCCAGCACCACGGCCGACCGCCTTTGTCTCCCTGCTGGCGATATTTGAACACTGATTTTGAGGCTGAGTCGACCTAGGGGAGGCCCAGCAACGTCGTGAGCGGGAATCGAACTCGTGTCGTCTGGGGTTTGTAGCGCGGCGCGCTGGGCACTACACCAGCGCTCCCCCCCACGCAGCCGGACACACCACACACTCACAGCCTGCTCGCCACAAGCCCTGCCAGCGCCCCCCACCACCCATCCACAACTCTCTCCTCCCCCCTCTCCTCCTCATCGCAATGGTTCGTCCCATCATCCCCTTGCTGCACACAGGCGGGTTCTTCAGGAGGGGAGACACTCTCCGCTTGGCGTGCGTCCTGAGCGAACGGCCGAGGGACCTCCTCCTCTTCCCTTCCCTCCTCCTCCTCTCCTCATCACCAGCACATGAGCCACACGAGCCTGGAGCAAGGGCTCGCTGCCTATGGACGCTCTTTCAGCGCCAACACGAATGCGACGACTGCGACGACGACGATGATCACTGTGATGATGATGATGATGGTGGTGGTGACGATGATTATCGTCTTAAAGCGTTGCGTGGAGCGGGCTGCACGGACGAGGTCGCTGAAGAGGAGGATGAGACATCGTCACCTGCACAATTTCTGCCCAACGCAAACGCACCCCGGGCAGGCAACGACGGGAGCCCGGCTTCCACTTCTAGCGGAGATCGCCAGCGGCAGTAGTCACAGCAGCGGCAGCAGCAGCAGCAGTAATCTTATTCGTAGTAAGAGTAGTAATAGCGGCAGCAGGAGTAATGATATTGGCGGTGTAGGTGGGGACCTGAGGTTCGTCAAGCGCCGGCGAATGCACGCCTCGACCGCCCTGCACAGATCCTCACACCTCACCGCCGTCGTCATCCCGGAGGCTCTTACCGATGCGCCGTGGATGATGAGCATGATGATGGTGGTGATGATGAGGATGATGATGATGGTGGTGGCGGTGATGACGAGTAGCACCACGAAGAGTGGCACATCATTGGTGTCCCATCACACGAGGAAGCAACAACAGCAACAGCAGCGGCGTCGGCGGCAGCAGCAGCATATCAACTCTGTATTGATGCGGGACGGACACGGTCTCATAGGAGCCTTCGTGTGCCTCCTCTTCATATCGGCACCTGCGCTGGGTAAGCGAGTGATTGAGATGCGCATTCGCAGGGCTGGTGCCTTGTTGTTGGGTCGCGCGAGAATCACCACGCGCAAGTGACACGGGGACGCGTCTGTATTAGTTGCGAGGCACTTTCACGTCCGCGTACGTCTTGTGTGCGTTGATCCGCGCGGTGCGTTCATGGCTTGCTTCGATACCCGGTCACGGCTGTTGACAGTGGCACGCGGTAGCTGAAGCTGTTCACACTCAAAAAGTCGTGCACGATGGTCTGACTATACGTTGGTGTGGGCACGTGTGAAAAAGAGCTTTACAGCTCATCGGATTCCTCCGGTACGAATACATATTCTTCTTCTGTGATAGAGACAACATGAGGATGGTGATGATGATGATGACTCCAAAGGCGATCCAGCCTTAAATTAGTACCAGGTCCCAGTGTGCGAGCTTTATAGCACGGAGAGACAAAGGCGTCCGGGCGTGGTGCCGGCTTTAGTAGCCAGCTGCTAGGAAACAGAGATTTATATGGGAGACGAAGAGGCTTTGAATTGTTTTGTGTTGGAGCTTGTGTCTGTATGTATGTTGACCTTCTTTCTCACCGTACGTAACCAACCGTGTTCAACGGAGGTGCGGACGTATGTGTGTCTGTATGTATGTATGTGTGTCTGTATGTATGTATGTGTGTCTGTATGTATGTATGTGTGTCTGTATGTATGTATGTGTGTCTGTATGTATGTATGTGTGTCTGTATGTATGTATGTGTGCCCTCCTGGCCTTCATAGGTGTTCGCTAACAGCACTTCCCCCAAATATGTCGTCTGTTAAAGGCTATATGGGGGATCTTTATCTTTTTGTTTGTTTGTGCGAGTTAGTACGAGGGAGTGGTGGCGCAGTGGTTAACGCGCTGCGCTACGAACCCAGCGATCAAAGATTGATTCCTACTCACGACCAACATCATTGACGATTATCTGAACCGATCCTGGGCCTCCCCTAGGTCGACTCAGCCTCGATTATTGAGTGCCTGGTGTGATGCGTAAACATCGCCGCTCAGGAATAAAACGCATCCGGGCGTGGTGCTGGCCACCCACCCCCTCGTGTGACGTGCCGGCTTTCATAGGTGCTCGCTAACAGCACTTGCCCCAACAGTCTGTTAAAGGCTACGCGGGGGATCTTTGTCTCTGTGTGCCCGTGCTGGTGCACGCTGTGGAATGCGCAATAGCCCGCGCGCTCTGTTCCCACGGGCTGCGATCGGCAGGCGATGTCTTGGAGCTCCGGGCGATGCGAGGTGCGTGCGTGTTTATGAAAGTTGAACACGCATGTGCGCGCGTGTGCGCACACGCGCATAGCCTTGCACAAGTACACGCAAAGACAGCGGTCCCCCCCTGCCCCCCACGTAGACTGTTAACAGCACGTTGGGGGCAACGTCTGTGAGCGAGCTGAGTCGAGCCACACGGACACACGCGCAGACGATGCATGCGCTCCGCACACTTCACGTGTGCACACGACGGTAGTGACACGGGTGCGCGCCTTCCTCGACAGCCCTGTGAGGCAGTGGTGGCCATTCCACATTACTACGGCGGGGCCCCGGTTAAAAAATAAAGAAAAACACACAGCCGCTGTGAATATCGCATGGCGCGTGTTGCGCATTGCACAGGCACTAGCCGATGCGCGCGTTGTGCGTGAATGCATTGACGTGTTCGTGTCATTAAGACGGCATACACACTGCGGAGATACCGTTTGAGAATGCTTACTGCTTTTAATAATTGATCTAATTGGCCATTGTTATATCCGCATCTCTTTTAACGAGGTCTCTGTAGACAAAATAGACACTTAAATGTCAATCGACACCCAGATGGGTGCTAATTAAATGACGTTTCATTGTAATCACATCATTAAAAACATGTGCATGTGTGTAGACACACACGCCTGTTATATTTTGTACGCAAGTTCACATTGTAATGTGATACGTACACTAGGATGTGTGCTTTCCGTATTCGCCTGCTCTTGCCTACCTGTTACCGTACCCGATGGCGTAGGCACAGGTGCGCAGCGCAGTTCGCGTATTGCGCTACGACTACTACACGTGCGCGTGTGTAGTGTGTGTGTCGTTATAAAGTGATTGTCTCATCATCGGCATGTTTGAAAGTGACCGTCTGACATGTGCCACGCTCTTGTAGCGACGCACAAGACACCGGATATTTGGATACATTTGCGGCATGGGGCATTGCGATTGAGCCCATAAGCCAGGTGCGATCTCACCGACCGAACTCTCGTCGTGTGATGCGGACACATACGCGGTACGAATAGAGAGAGATTGAGAGGAGCGGTGGCGACAGTGCTTGCGAGCGCATCGCGAATATGAACCCTCGGCGGATCGCGAGTTGAATTGCCAGGCACGGGTTTTAGCGTTGGTGGAAAGTCATCGGAACACCGCTCTCGGTGCCTCGCATATAGGCTGGGGATACAAAGACGGCCGGGCGTGGTGCTGTCCAAACAATATCCCCCTTATAGCCTTAGCAGACTGTTGGGGCCAGTGCTGTTAGCGATGCACCTATCAAGGCCGGCACGGGAAACAGAAGTGTCGTTGGGCAACACCACGCCCGGCCGCCTTTGTCTTCTCAGTGGCGATGTTTACCACACACCGCACCAGGTACTCATTTGAGGCTGAGTCGACCTAGGGGAGACCCAGGACTTCGTTCAGATCATCGTCACTGATGGTCTTGGCCGTGAGCGGGAATCGAACTCGGGTCGCCGGGTTCGTAGCGCAGCGTAGCGATGACCGCTCCATCACCGCTGTTCACACTAAGCACCCAATCCCGTGGTCTTCATTGATACTCGCCAACGGCGCGCACTCTTGCAGCAAAAATCTGCGCGGCTTAAACATGGGGTGAGTAGGGGGGGTGTCTTTGTCTTGTTTCTCTATACAGGCGAGGCTGGTGTACACCACGCACCGTTCTGATCAGAATCAGAATCTGTATTTATATCCGAGGAATCGGGTGAGCTTTTGAAGGTTTTTTTTACAATCTCACAGATGTCCACTTAGGGGGGGGATCAGAACGTTTCAACGGCGAACAGTAACACAGACACGATAGGACTGCGAGGTGCATCGGTCAGATAGCCTCTTCACTCGCGAACTCCGTGTTCGACGATTCTCGCTAAAAAAAAAATCATCTCGGAGCTCAACGAAGAGAATGAGAATCATGGCCACGTGCTGTCTGCACGGGGCAATACAACGAAAGGAATGCACCGATGCCTGTTTTTTGGTTTGTTTTTGCGCTAAATTATAGACGCCGTCCCTCCTGTCCGAGCGCGCAGTTGGGGTTGCTCGCAGCAGCGAGCGATTCCCCATTGATCAAAAGCCCCTAAGAGCCATTGGCTCCGTGATGAATGGAGCAGACACGGGAGATGTCTCCGTGTTTAGCACCCCCCCCTCCGCCGTGTATAGAGTAGCAGCCCCGCACCGCAATGTTGTTAGTTCATAGACTCGAGCACACATCATCATCACCACCATCACCATCATCATCACCACCATCATCATCATCATCACCACCACCATCATCATCACCACCATCATCACCACCATCATCACCACCATCATCATCATCATCACCACCATCATCATCACCACCATCATCATCACCACCACCACCATCATCATCATCACCACCACCACCATCATCACCACCATCATCATCACCACCACCACCATCATCACCACCATCATCATCACCACCATCATCACCATCGTCATCACCACCATCATCAACATCACCACCACCATCATCACCACCATCATCATCACCACCATCATCATCACCACCATCACCATCACCACCATCATCATCATCACCACCACCACCATCATCACCACCAACATCACCACCATCATCATGATCATGCACCGACAACACGGAACGAGACGGTGCCGCAACCACAGCCGGCTTCGTCCATGAGTACCGTGCGCCAACATTACAGCTTGGGACTTTGAACTTGACGTGGTTTTAAAGCGATGTGAATGTTTGGCTGTGAGTAACATATGTGCGTGTCGGGGAGGGGGGGGGCGGTAGTGTCACGGTTGGCGCACTGCGCTACGTGCCCAGCGAACCGAGTTCGATTCGAGCTCACGACCAATAACAGTGATGAATAGCGGGACCGGTCTTGAGCCTCGCCTAGATCGACTCAGCCTTAAACGTGAACGCTGATGGGAAATGTAGACATCAGCACTCGGGAGACAAAGGCGGCCGCGCGTGATCCTTGCATCCCACTCCTTTGCGTGCCCTGCCGGCCTCAACAGTTGTTTGCTAACCCCACTCGTCCAAACATTATCTGTTAAAAGGCTATATAGGCGGGGAGGGGGTCTGCCTTGTTATCCAGGCGCGCGTGTGAAATGCGCGCGCTATACTGGGTGTAGGCGCAGTGGAGTTCGCAGACCGCGACACGAGCTCGGCGATCTGAGTTCTCATATCGGGCCACGGATCTCGCGTCGGCGGCGAGTGCCATGCGAATCGCTTCTGGGTCTCCCCCTAGATCGGCCTCGCACGAGGAACCACCGCCAAACTATCGAGCAAAGTGCCGGCCCGAACGGGTTCTCGCTGAGATCACGTGGGGGCTCCCCAAACAATACACGCGACTCGGGCGGCGACGCAAGCTCGGCGGTTAGCACGCGGAATGCAACGGCCCGCCCTGATTAATACAGCCGGGGCTTTTCGTAAACGAACAAAAAAAACCCCGCGCCATCTGCTTAATTGGGAATTCAAATTGTAACGCGACGTATTTGCAGGAGCAGGCCATTGTGCGCTCGGCTTTATGGTCTAAATGTTGCAGCAAATGCCTAAATTGGAACTATATACGGTATCAATGTAATATTTTCCTATGCTGGTAGGGACAGCTGCCACTGGGGGGGCCCTATTCGAGACTATATAGCAATCTGTTTGCAGACGACAGCGCTTGGGCAATGGCTGGCACTGGTCGCTGGCCTCCTCCCAATGCGTGCCTTTGGTTTCCTGCCCTGACGCGCGAGATAAGG